AATCAAAACCACATTGAGATACCGTCTCACGCCAGTTAGAATGGCGATCATTAAAAAATCTGGAGACAACAGATGCTGGAGAGGATGTGGAGAAAAAGGAACACTTTTGTACTGCTGGTGGGAGTGTAAATTAGTTCAACCATTGTGGAAGACAGTGTGGTGATTCCTCAAGGATCTAGAAATAGAAATTCCATTTGACCCAGCAATCCCATTACTGGGTATATATCCAAAGGAGTATAAATCATTCTACTATAAGGACACATGCACACGAATGTTCATTGCAGCACTGTTTACAATAGCAAAGACCTGGAACCAACCCAAATGCCCATCGATGATAGACTGGACTGGGAAAATGTGGCACATATACACCATGGAATATCATGCAGCAATCAAAAACGATGAGTTCGTGTCCTTTGTAGGGACATGGATGAGTCTGAAGAACATCATTCTCAGCAAACTGACACTAGAACAGAAAATGAAATACCGCATATTCTCACTCATAGGCAGGTGATAAACAATGAGAACACATGGACACAGGGAGGGGAGCACTACACACTGGGGTCTATTGGGGGGAATAGGGGAGGGACAGCATGGGGGGGAGCTGGGGAGGAATAGCATGGGGAGAAATGCCAGATGTGGGTGAAGGGGAGGAAGGCAGTAAATCACACTGCCACGTGTGTACCTATGCAACTATCTTGCATGTTCTGCACATATACCCCAAAACCTAAAATGCAATAAAAAAAGAAATTAAAAATCTTAAATGGGGTGCTGTTGGTATAGTTACAGATACATTTACCATGTCGAGGTAACAGTATGAGTGGAGACAAAAAGTTTGATGGTGTATGGATCAGTCGCTGTCAAGTGACTGATTAAAAATCAGAGAAATTCTAATTTTTGTTTTTCCCAAAGTCTTAGTTGCTTGGCTGCACTCCGGGTTTTCTGAGATAGACATAGACATTAATATATCCACTTTGTGCTTTAGCTCTCAAAATCCGTTTCTGTCATTTAGACCTTAATGACTAACACTCATAAACTATTCTCCCTTACGATACAACCTAAGGATAGTTTTTACATTTTTACTTTAATTTCTGGGATACAAGTGTAGGTTTATTACATTTGTTTTTAGCCCCGGATGCATTAGGTGTTTGTCCTAATGCTCTCACACCCCCCACCCCTCTACCCCTCACTGACCCTGGGTATGTCTGTTCCCCTCCCTGTGTCCATGTGTTCTCATTCCCATTGTTCAGCTCATACTTATGAGTGAGAAAATGCAGTTTGGTTTTCTGTTCCTATGTTAGTTTGCTGAGGATGATGGCTTCCAATTTCATCCATGTCCCTGCAAAGGACATGATCTCATTCCTTGTTATGGCTAAAATCATTCACAGTAATCCATGGTGTGTATGTGCCACATTTTCTTTATCCAGTCTATCCTTGATGGGTATGTGGGTTGGGTCCATGTCTTTGCTATTGTTGCAATAAACATACATGGGCATGTGTCTTTATGGTAGAAAGATTTATATTCCTTTGAGTGTATACCCAGTAATGGGATTGCTGGGTCAAATGGTATTTCTAGTTCTAGATCCTTGAGGAATCACCACACTGTCTTCCACAATGGTTAAACTAATTTACACTGCCACCAACAGTGTAAAAGCTTCATGAGCTCTGGAGAATCTATTGTTTCTGGACCTTTTAATAATTGCCATTCTGACTGATGTGAGATGGTGTCTCATTGTGGCCCTGATTTGCATTTCTCTAATGATCAGTGATGTAAGACAAGCAAGAAGTGGGCAAAGGAAACAACAGACACTTCTCTGAAGAAGACATTTATGCAGCCAACAAATATATAAATACATAAAAAATAAATATTGAACACAATGTAACATGATATTCCCTTTCAGGTCTTTTTAGCAGGCTAGTAGCCCCATGGAATAAATTTTCAATCTTTGGAGGCATCTGGGTTAAAACAAGATGATCACTTCTGGGAATGCCGGAGAGGAGTTCCTCAGGAGGAAATCCCTTTAACAGACACTTTTACCTTCACTCTCCACGGATCTGCTTCTCAGGGATTGTGGCACATGTATACTTGAAAGGTTTGGGGATTTTCCTGCCTACTTTCCCTTCAAAAACAAACATCTCTGCCCAGGGCACTGGTAAGTGAACAGTGACCACATTTTGTAGCACAGTCCCCTGGCTCTTTAGTCACAGGCTATCAGACAAAGGTTGTACCAGTGACCCAAGTACAGTCAGTCCACTGGCAGGCTAACAAATTACCGTGTGATCTAAAACTTAAAATCCGTGACCTGGTGTGGTAAGATATAATTAGGCAATCCTTCACCTTTGGGAATTCTTGGGCTAAGACTATTTGAAAGAGAAGGCAACATTTGCATGGAGGCATCCCATGAGAAAGAATCCAGACTGGAATGGCCATAGTAAAAGCTAAGTCAAAATTCTGATGGACCAGATTTTTGGAAAGTAAAAAAAACCCTGATTGACCTAGAGAGGCCTCGAGCAGATCCACAGAGAAAAGCACAGATGCTAAAAGAAGGTAACATAGAGACACTAAGTATCCAGTCCCTGGGGCTGCCTCAGTCCCTGTTAATGCTTAGTTTCCAAATCATTGGTATTTGTAGGATAAACTTTCATTGACCCAGTGTGAGAAGATATTTGTTCCCTGCAAACAAATGAGCCACTAACATTAGCAACAAAAGACTCTATTAGGTTTTAATGTAACCTGTGTTCATTTGCTCCCATGCATGCAGTGGGCAAGGTTGGCAGCACGGTGGTCAAGGATGATGAATATTGCTTTGATTATTTGGAGTTAGCAGTGCATTTAATGAAAAAGTTGACGTGCCAGTTTTGCACGGCAGTAGATTAAGAGCAATTAGATAAAACAATCAGAGCACATATTCTTAAAGCAGCCCATCTCATAAACAAATGGTCGATGAAGTACGCTCCTGAATCAATTAAGCGCAACAAGTAAGAAAACTTGCTTTCACTAGACACAGTAAAAAACAAAACGAGACAAAACAATGAGGAATATTAGAAATGGACTGTGAAAAGCACAATCAATAATACAAATTAATGCCTGTTTTAGAATAGCAAAGCATCATTAAAATTAAAAGTCTGATGCTGGGATTGCATAAATAAGTGTATTTAAATCTGCAATCTTCGTTATTTTACATCTTAGACATATTAGGAATTGGCTTGTTTGGTAGCTGATGAAAGATTTGTCTGTGTCTGAAACACCAAGAAGCAAGAGCTAGCTCAAGGACTAGCTTAAAGTATGAGAGAACAAGAAAACCATAAGCACAAAGTTCTATAATGTGCAGTCACAGGGCTGACTCATTATGTCTCTAGTAAGCTACTGAGCTATGTGGTTTAATATGCCTCCATGATGGATAGGGTCTTAATGCTTGGGGGAACTATGCAAGGGACCAGGAAGATTAGCAACTTATCTTTCCACTCTCATTTCCCATGAACTCTGCTCCAGTAGTTTGTTCATAAACTGTCAAATATCATTGGCTGTTTAGTGCTTTTGCACATATTCTTCTGACTGTCTAAAATTCTCTCTTCTTTTTCTTTATATAAATTTTCCTTTTTTAAAAAAGCCAAACTCAAAACTTATTTCTTTTATAATGCTTTCCTGTTCCACCAGAATTAAATGCGATTTATTTACATCTAACCCTTACAGACCTCCCTGTTCCTGCCTCTGTCTTGAAAACTACATCCAGTCTGAAAGCATTATTTTGTTGGTTTTAAAAGTAGATTATCTGTTGAATAATTACTTGACTTCATAAGGTAAGGTTTGCTTTATCTCTGTAATTATCAGCTTCCTTTGTGATATTGTCTTACACATTCATGTTCATTCAGAAACCACTACCATGACACATCATCTAACTCCACCACTTTCAGTATTCTTCTGAGCCTACCCACTAAGAAAAGATTTCCTGGCCGGGCGCTGTGGCTCAAGCCTGTAATCCCAGCACTTTGGGAGGCTGAGGCGGGTGGATCACGAGGTCAAGAGATCAAGGCCATCCTGGTCAACATGGTGAAACCCCGTCTCTACTAAAAATACAAAAAAATTAGCTGGGCATGGTGGCGTGTGCCTGTAATCCCAGCTACTCAGGAGGCTGAGGCAGGAGAATTGCCTGAACCCAGGAGGCGGAGGTTGCCGTGAGCTGAGATCACGCCATCGCACTCCAGCCTGGGTAACAAGAGCGAAACTCCGTCTCAAAAAAAAAAAAGAAAAGGTCTCCTAATTTAAGAAATGTGCTTCAATCTGTGATCCTGTAGGACATGGTTCAATGTCAGCATTTATTAGTCATATAGGCAGTAATTAACAAATGTACTTCCCCATGGTGTCATTTGACTTTTTCTCCATCCCCTGTATTTTCTGTATACTGGGGCTAAGATTTAAAGTCTTGAATATTATACATGTATACATATTTATATATATGCATATCTGAGATATCATATATGTATAAAATGTATCTTAGACAATCCTGAATCCTTCATATTACCTCACATCAGAAGGCATATAAGGTTTTACTGTCTTCTTTTTTGAGATGGAGTCTCACCCTGTCGCCCAGGCTAGAATGCAATGGCGCAAACTCGGCTCACTGTAACCTCCACCTCCCAGATTCACGCAATTTTCCTGCCTCAGTCTCGCAAGTATTTGGGATCACAGGCACTCCCAGCTAGTTTTTTGTATCTTTAGTAGACACAGGGTTTCATTATGTTGGCCAGGCTGGTCTCAAATTCCTGACCTCACGATCTGCCTGCCTCAGCTTCCCAAAGTGCTGGATTACAGGTATGACCCACCGTGCCCAGCAGTTTTTATTGTCTTGTCTTTATTCTGCTAAAATTAATCAGGAGCTCATCCAGGGCAGCCTGTTCTCTTTATTGTCAGGTTCTCCAGTATAGGCTGACCTGGCATATATTTCATATATTTGCCTGGAATCATACCAGTTTATGCCTGGTTTTATTTTATTTTATTGTCCTAGTGGAAAGCACGAATGCAGTCCCCCACTACCACAAATTATGCAGTCGAGTTTCTCACATTTGGAGAATTCACAGAGGTCAGCACATCCAGAGTGCAATGGATAAGTCTTGCCCTGAGAAAACCACCTTCATGATCTTGCTGTCTCCCCCACCAGCTAAGTGCTAGTTTATGCCTGTTTCCTGGCATAATTATCAATAGTGCACCCTTTTTTTTCCTCACAAAGTATCTTTGTTTAGACAATAAATTACCCATCAACCATCATCATATTGATGATTACTTTAGTTAGTTATTTTATTGGAGACTGTAAAGTGTTTTTCTAATTCTATCATTCTATATTTATTAACTGAACTATTTGTATGCAATACTCTTTCCCATGCCTACAGGCCTTTTGGCATAGAGTTTACTTCAGAATGGCAAAGTAAATGCCTAATTCCTTCCCCTCAGTTGACAATTTTCAGAATATTGACTTGGTGCCCAGACAAGTTCTAGTGTTATCCAGTATCTCAAGAGTTTTGATTGTTTCTCTTTCTTTAAAATATCATTAAGAATGCACGGCTTTTTAGATCTTAAATGTGTTTTAATCAATCATGGTTATCATTGATTCTTTCATTGTCTCACCTTCGGTCAGTGAAAGTACACTCAAGCTGGCTCATGTGTCATTTTGACAATGCCTCATTTTCCTTTCACGGTTTTCTTATTTGGGGGCACACAATGTTTCAGATTTATCTTCTGTATTTCTTCATCTAAAATTAAGCATTTCCCAGAAGTAGTGATTAAGTTGATAACTCAGAAGAGAGTTTCAGAAAACCCCTCCCCACTTTCCCCCAAAGTATTAGCAGGAAATAGCCTGAAAGGGAAAAGAAAACGCTGACCCTTTAGTTAGATCGGCACATGGCAGTGACTGTGTATACAGCAAGAAAGCAGCAACAAAGCTACAAACAGAACAGATCTGATCTGTGTATTCAAGAAGTTTACAATTTAAAAGGAAAATCAGGCTTCTCTCAGTAACCGCAGGTGAATATAGTGAATTATTATCTGCTCTCCACATGGCAAAATTAGAACATATCTGCTTAATTCAAATGGATATAAATAGCCTGCATCAATGTTTCGACTCCCTATTAATTGACTTAATAATCATTTTTGCCTAAACATATGGCTTTGATATTCCCCTGGCTGAAAAATCTGGTAGGGGGATTTATAGTTTTCTATTTAATCAGATGAGAAAATGTGCATACTTATCAACCTCCTTTATGATTTTAACATTCCTAGAAATATACACAAAGAAGCTACCAGTACACATAGAAGATGTCAGATGTCTGAGTCTTCTTAGAAATACAAAGAACTGCCTTTCCTTCTCCTCAAAAGCACCGCTGAGACAGGAATCTCATCAACTACAGTTTTCTGAGATCTCAGATGAAAAACTTCAGAAATGATTATTTTTTAACATTTAGAAAAACAAGAAAACAATTTTTCTCCAGTAAACTTTCAGGTGTAATTCTCCAGTTTGCAGATGTCAATACCTTGTTACATGGAAAAAAATCTGCTAAGTAACGAGTAATGGCTTTAACTTGTTAAGAGTTCAAATACACACTCATATTTGCCATTTGAGTACCAGACTTTGAGCTCTGGATTCCTCAGCTCAGAGGCGAAATCTCTCTTAATCTAAGAGAACTATTGGGGAAGATTTGAATATGATGGAGACTATTTCAGGGTCAGTCTGTTTTATCAGTCTTAGGCATCAAGCTGTTTTATATTCATTCTTTGCTATTCTTACCATTTTCCTAGCAACATGAACAAAATAATCAATACAAGTGATATGGACAATAAGTAAAAGCTGGATTTAATTAAGAAAAGATATGATTGACTTTATGACTTAGTATATTTTAAACAGTTACCACTCCCAAGTTAGATAGAATTTTGTTCATTCAGTTTCTTCTCTCATCCATCCATTCTGATATACCATGTATCTACTCTAAAAATATTTAATGATAACTTAGTAAGTTTCATCAGGAGTTATACTTGGCATTTAGAATGGAAAGCTTCATAATACATGAGTCCTATCTGCGAGGCACTCATGGACATGTGTGATAGAGGCTTATAAATAATTATGACATGGTTCAGATAGCATCAATATTATGAGGAATGCTGGATAAGGCCTTATAGAACTGTGTGTAAAAAATAAGAAGCTGCCAGATGAAAAGGGCATTTAGGCAGAGAAGCCAACACATATCAAGTTATTAATGTAGCAAGCCAATAAATAAACTTTTGGTATTTCCACAGATAATCCTGATTCCCATACTTATAACTATATTCCAACAAATCTGAGGTTATATGTCCCGATTTTGTCTGAAAAATTAGAGTCACTTAATGGTGAACTGATAAAGAGAGACACGGGTGGAAAGAAAAGCATTTTCCCTTTTATATACTATTTTAAAAACAATCAAAAAGAGAAATATTCATTAAAACAATTAAATTTAGAATTATTAAGGGGCATTTTCTTATGGGAAAAATAACCCTATGCAAATTAATACTTCTTCCACTAAGTACTTGTTTCAAATCATAATCTTTGTCTTGCTTTTCACTGGAAGACAATGAAGGTGTTACTTCCTGCAGAAGTCTACAGCCTTCTTCCCACTTCTGTTTCTAGGAGTATCTTTCAACGCTACATTAAGTGAGAGAAACAAATAAACAACAACAACAAAAGGAAAGAAACTCCATGATTCTTCTAGCTCACTGTACTTCACACGCTTTTTTGTTTCTCAGAGAGAACGGAGATGTAACTCCAATTGCTCTTATCTTTTTTTTTAAGTTTAAAATTTGTTAGCCCAGAATTAAAAAACTAGTTCTAAGATTTTGAAACAGGCATATAAACTTAGTGTCTTTAATTTGAAAATAAAGATTTTTGTTTTCTTACAAAGCTGGGAAGTCATGCATATCACCACAAGTTTGTTTCTCCCTCTTCTCCTCACATTTTACAGGGAAAGTTCATGTCAAAAAATCATTTTTTGAAATAATCATTATTTTTTCCAGAATGACATTTAAAGGAAAAACTTCAATGTGCATAATATAATTTAAACATGCTTGATTGGTATTTAAGACATAGACATGAAATATGGAAACTCTGGTGGTAATTTTCAAAATAGGACAGAGTTTCAAAATTGCTTGGAATGATGACAGCATTATTGAAAAAATAGACTTTTTACAATGTGATTCTAAAGGGCACTGGTTAATGTTTATTTAGAGAATGAAGTTTGAATGTCTTTGCACTTCATGAAGTGAAAGCCTGATTCCCATTCAAACTAGTTACTTGAGTTTTTGACATTTATCTATTCTGCAAATTAGGGAACATATATGTAATTGATTATTCATTTTCTCTAAGTCAAGTGAATTTTGATATTTCAGAAGGAAGCATCATTGAGTGAAAAGAGTGTAATCTATGGAGTTATACAACCTTGGTATTTTTATTCTATTTCCAATACTAACTGAATTATTGGTTTCTACATTTTTTAAAATTTGAGAACACAGTTACTCTTCATAGGGAACAATTTATTTTATTTTTATTTTTAGTGTATAATATCTAAACCTAAACCCCTTGTTTGAAATACTTCTTTGTGGTGTAGCCCCATTCTCCCTGCCCTTGAGGACGCTGTTATGTCCTAGCTTGCCTGTATTATAGCTTGTATCCTGGTTCATGAGTTCTCAAGCTCTTGTACCACATCCAAGAAGAAAGAGGATATGCTGGACATTGAAGGATGAGAAGGGCAGAGATGAATTTTATGAGCAATGGAAGAGCTCTCAGCGGAGAGAAGATGACGGGGTGATTCCCCACCCCTGTAGACAGGTGGTTCTCTCCTACCCTGTAGCTGGGTCCAGGGCTTTTTATGGACTCAGAACAGCAGAAGGGCAGGCCATAGGTAGTACTGGAAAAGGCAGCATTTGATTGTTTGAATGGCATTATTCAGAAAGACTTAATTGGGGAAGGATGAGCAAACAGGAACAGAAGTTGTCACTCTGAGTTGAGGTTTCATTTGGGACCAGCAGTTCAGTCTTTCATCCTTCAGGCTGGTTTTGGCTTGAAGATGGGGTTCACCCAGGTTCCACCCCATCTGCCCAGGCATTCGGCTGCCTCCTGTTACTATTACCTGGACTCCTGTTACTATCACCTGGACTCTTGACACCCAGATCCTTGTTCTTTACAATTTTCCAAAACTGACCTTCAGATAACCCCCCAATTGTGAGCCTTCAGTAGCCTCCTACAATAAATTCCTTCACTTCTAAGACAACCTGGGTCAATTTCTGTTGTTTGCTGCTGCTTGTAAGCAAATAACCTGACTTGCACACCTACTGTTATAGACTGAATAATGGACACTGAAACATATCAAGTCCTAATCCTTAGAACTTGTGAATGATATCTGGAAAAAGAGTCTTTGCATATAGAATTAAGGTAAGGATGTAGTGATGATGATATGTCCTTATAAGAGACAGGAAGAGAAAAACGTACACAGAGGAGGAGGCCATGTGAAAATGGAGACAGACGTTGAAATGATCCAACCACAAGCCAAGAAATAGTGAAGCCAAAAGCAGGAAGTGAATCTCCCCTAGAGCCTATGCAGCAGAGCCAACATGTTGATGTTAGATTTTTAGCCTACAGAACAACGGGAATAAATGTTTGCTGTCTTAAGCCACAGGAGGTAATTTGTTATAACAGCCACAGCAAAGAATATAACTTCCTTACACATTTTAATGAATATTAGAGAGAATGTATCATCTATAGCCATCTATCACAAAAGTTTATGTCTTATCTTTTACATTGTATGTCTAAGATGAATAAATTGATAGGTAAATAATGCCACTATAGGTTGGTGGAAAAGTAATTCCAGTTTTGCCATTGAAAATAATGGTGAACACAATCGCTATTGCACCAACCTAATGTTATTATTACTATTATCATTGCTATTGTTAATTGTGTAATTAATAGGTACCTATAATGCATCAGGCACTATACCAGAACCCAGACATAGGCCTTGTCCCTGTCTCCAAAGAACTCTTTGTGAGACAGAGATTTTAGAGCTCAGTGTTCATCAAACACAGTATGCAGAACAGAAGCTCAATACAGGCAGAGAAAAATGGCATTCACCAAGGCACAGACATGCCCATGTTTA